TAATCAAAGAGAGGGCAAAATTCAGCCAGTCGTAAAGAAATTGAGTATGCAGATGCCCGCGAGCCGAAGGGGCGCTGAGGCACCCTCCGCGGGCTTGGTGAGGACCCGCGGAGACAGAGAGAGCCCGAAGGGGAGGGCTTTGTATTGCCAAGCTCGACCTTCAAACGCAAACCGCAGAAACTGTCGGTGGCGAGGAAGAGTGGAGACATGGAAATACGCGTCCATCAGGTCTAATGCTGCAGACCAACCCAGAGGACGAACGCACCGGAGGATGCACTTCTGCGTGAGCATTCTGAACGGCAGCTTGTGCAGGCAGCGGTTCAAAACGCGCAGATCTAGGATTGGCCGTGACCCACCGCTCTTTTTGGGCACGATGAAGCGTGGGCTGTAAAACCCGCTCTCCATCTCGGCTGGAGGGAGCGGCTCGATTGCATCCTTCGCCAGGAGGACAGCAATCTCCTCTCGCAAGACAGGGGCGGACAGAGGGCTGACCCTGGTGAATACACACCCGTGACTTGGGGGGCCGTTTCGCGAACTGAATCGCATAGCCGAGTCTGATTGTGCGTATGAGCCACCGCGAAGAGCTGGCCCGCGCTAACCAGGCAGGCAGAGCTCTCGCTAATGGACTCATCGCTACAATCGCTGACGTACCAGCAGTGGGGCAGCGCGGAGTGGGTGTGCTGATCCGGGAAGCTCGCGGGTCCCACGGAAAAGCTGGAGGTGAGATATTTGCTCTCACTCCAAACCCGAGCTCCGGAGGGGAGGCTCGAGGGGTGGGAGAAAGGAGACCGTCCTCCCAGCGCTCGTGAGCCACTGGCGAAACGCACCGAATCTGCAAGCTAGAAAGCATAGCGTCCCAGACTGGCAGATTTTGGGCTGTCACATCTGGGGAAGTGAAAAGTGCCCTTTCATAATGTTTTCATGGCAGTAAAAAGTGCCGTTGGAAATGGGGCCCCGCCCTCCAGCGGGGAAAGAGCAAGTTCCCTCTTCTCCAGATGGCCTGTCCCAGGGGCGCTTCGCGGTCCGTTGCCGGACTTAGCGGCGTTCTGGGCAGGGGGGCTGCCTGCTTCCGAGGTGCCCGACGCGCTCGCTTCGCCGGAGACGTGTGCGGGGGCGGAGCAGCTCTCGTAGGCGGGCGCCTTCGGCGAGGAGCAGGTATGAATGGCACGGCGGGCGGAGCGGGCTACGGACCGCCGATAAGACATCACCCACCAACTGCTCTCTCACCGTCTTGAATTCCTGGGTGAATTCACAGACAGTGTCGCCGAACCTGGCTGGGGATATGGGGAAGTCAAGAAAGCGGACTTTGTCGACTTTGCGCATATCAGCCAGGGGTGGCGCTCCTGGACCACTAATGTGGACATCGTCCTCCCCAACGCACACGCAGCGGACTCAGTAGTCCGAAGAGCTAAGTCGGCGGCAGTGCGAAGCTCGTAAGCCTGGGTTGGACCCACCCTCGTGCAGCTCGGCCAGCGCCTGCGCTTGGTAGCACTGGTAGGTGGCTATCGCATGCAAGGCGGAAGCAGCCTGGCCCGCAGCTATGTAAGCTCTAGCTCCGAGGGAGGTAGATAACTTACAGGCTTTGGATGGGAGACGAGGCGGACCCCGCCAAGAAGAGGCGCCGCGCGGATTTACCGCCATCGCGCACTCAACCTGAGGAATCGCCACATACCCCCTGGCTGTTTCACCGTCAAGAGTGGTTAGGGTGGAGGAACACGCAGCACGAGCAGAAAAAAGTGCTTTACAAGACCGCGTGAGCCTACTGTGCACCTCCGGGAAGAAGGGAACGCCCCTCTAGTCGGTCCGGCCGCGGAGCTGAGGGATAAACCATCTCCAACCCATGGCCGAAGCAGCCCGGGAAAGCACGGCTAACATGTCCGTTTCAGGATCCGTAGTGACAGCGCTCACCAGCCCGAAGGGGGCGAGCGGGTCTGGATCATCATCGGACAATGAAAGCCCACCCTCCGATGCCGCGGTGGACATCTGGTCTCCGGTGTCATCGGGCGTAAGGGCTACCATCTGTTAGACGGATCGCTTCCCCCGCCCGAAGCTTGGATGGAGCGCTTAGAGGAGCGGGAGGTCCGCGGGCCCGTGGACGACGGATTATCTCTCGCTGAAACCCTCAGATCTGCCCGAGTGCCCGCTGCAGAGCAGGGGACAACTGGGGTGGTTCGCCCTTTTGCAAAGGCTAACCGCGATCTTGCGCAACAGTCATGGCATCGCAATGACGACATGAACTGCCCGCGAGCAGCGCATTAACATGCTGGACCCCCAGACATGCAACGCAGTGCCCGCGCCCATCATCCGAGGACAGGAAACCACCGCATCCAGAAACGCACAGTCGGAGCGCCGTCCTGATAAGGACGTGCTGCACGACTGTGTTGCTCTTTCTGTGAAGTTTGCAACTTTATACGCACCGCTCTGGAGGACCGGACCCAAAGAACGCCAGGCAAGGGAGAAACCCAGCTCGACCGTCTGCCACTGCGTGTACACACTCTGGACCGGGAGAATGCTCTCGTTCGCTCAGAATCGCTGGTCACAGCAGGAGGAACCCTCATCGACTCGATCAGAAAGTCTCTGAAGCGAAAAGGGATAGCGTCTGCTGGCGCCAGGTGAGCTTATATACTCAGTTGATTGCTTATGCCGCTCACCTGCGCAGGCTTGCGCTGCCAATTCATTCTTAGTTGGCCCGTTCAATACTCTTTCAGACGAGTAGCTTCTGAACCGAACCTCCCAATGCGTGGATTTTACAATCAAATCCACTTATAGTGCTGAAGTTCCCCCCGAAGGGGAACTGCATGTGACTGCGCAGGACAAATTGCAGCACTTTGCGTGAAGAAACGTGTTTTCTCAGTACCACATCTGTATACCCTGACCTATTCTTTGATTTTTTTTGTCTATATGTGTGCGTTCAGAGCAAGCAAGCAATGGAATTTTAAAATAATATTTAAAAAAAACTGCGATAAAATAGTTGTCGGGATTATTTATTAATGGATTAGCCCAATATAAAACACATTTACTTGACCAGCTTATCTAAACAACAACATTTTCGCCTAGAAAGTCTCAAAACGTAGATTTGTGATCCAACAGTAGCAGTATTTATCGAACAATAATACGTTAAGTCCTCCGCTTGGCACCCGCTGAGGGCGGAGTGATACACACAGGGTGAAGAGGCTGTAATTACTTAAACAAATGTTCACATTTCAAACGCAGAGGGCTCATGAAGGGCCTTTTTTGTGTTGTGTTTTTTGGGTGTGTATCAGGGTCTGCAGACGGGCACGCAGGAGCTAGAGGAGATGGGCCTGAAGTTCAGCCAGAGTCTGCTCACTCTCAGGAGGAACTCAGCTCATTACAGCAGCCGTCTGATCCAGCACACGTCGGCTCTGCTCGACCTGGACGACCGGTTGCTGCCTCACAAGTCCAACACGTGAGTGGAAAACCAGCTCATTCACACACATCCTGGGATATAAACTTGTTTGTTTGGAAACACTTTTTTAATGATACATTTGAGTATAAGTAGACTGTCTGCTTAATATCTGCTGATTCTACTCCTTCAACAGGCATTTAACTAACTATAAAAAACTTTATTAAGTACGTCAACTTACACTAACCCTAAATCTAACCCCAACCTAGCAGTCTACTTACAATCGAATGAGAATTAGTTGTCATGTAGATGCTATGTAACTTAAATTCAACAAACGGACCATCAAAATAAAGTGTGGCCATTTGTTTATTTTCCCCTTAAATTAGTTGTCATATTTAGTGCTTTATGGTCAGTCACATTTTATTTAGTACTGGTTTGAGTTACTGTAAATCTTTGATAAATAATAATACCTAATATCTGAAGAAATCATTACATTAGTACTCAGTGGAAGTGGTGATTCATTTTTGTTGCTTTGTATTTTATATGTTGCTTTTACGCAACAGTTTCAGACTTTGTGTTCTTAGTAATCTGCATAATATTTATTTCTTTATTTTAGTTGTTTATTTAGTTATTTAGTTAGTTAGTTAGTTAGTTAGTTAGTTAGTTAGTTAGTTAGTTGGTTAGTTGGTTAGTTAGTTAGTACTATATCTCTTTTAACATTTATGTATTAAGAAAATGCTTCTATCTAATGAGTAATATCTGAATTTAGCATTTGCTTTGAGTAATTGTTTCTTTTAGTTTCCTCGTTTGTTTTTTATTTTGATGTTTGTTTGATTTATTTGTATTTTTTTTTGCAAATTTTTACTAATGTTTCCCTTGACTTGTAGTTAAATATGTCAAATTAGTTTGAAATACAGTATGTGTGTGTCCAGAGTGTCAAAAACAACCAGCCTGTTAATGGTTAAAATACATCCACACACTTTATTTATTTATTTATTTATTTATTTATTTATTTATTTATTTATTTATTTATTTATTTATTTATTTATTTATTTATTTATTTATTTATTTATATATTTATTTGTTTGTTTGTTTGTTTGTTTGTTTGTTTTTTATTTTTTAATTTAATTAATTATTTATTCATTCAGTCTTTTTTTTTCATAAATTATGAACAGTCACTGCAATTGCACATTTGCAGATTTTCACCTTTTTTCATTATTTTTCTCAGTATTATTTTTTTATTTTAGTATTTATTTATATTATTTATTAATTTATTTAGTCATTCATTTCGTCATTCACTCATTTATTTATTTATTTATTTATTTATTTATTTTTACTTTATTATTTTATTTATTTATTCATTTATTCATTTATTTAGAAATATGGAGATATAGAAAATGAGCAGACCTGGTGGTTCTCCAGGAACGTGGTTGAGAAACACTTATTAGAAAAACCTCTAATAAAATACCCACGCTATTTTGAGCAAAAACTTCACAGATACATTCTGGGGACGCCAAAGATTATTTAACATCTCATTAATATGTCCTCTTCAATGCAGGGTTCACAAATTAAAGTGGTAGCTTGAAAAGCTTACACTCAATGTCAATATAAATCCACAAATAGAAGTGCATTTCTGTTAAATGGCACAACTGATGCCAAATTTATGATCCGCTTGCTGCTAGCGTGTGGTATTCACCTCAATCACATCTTAAATAATGTCAAAAAGTCAAATAATTCAGCTTGAGAAAAAAAGGCATCCTGAGCACTCAAAAATGAACCTTTACTCACATTTTACTGAAGTGGTTCCATAAACCTTTATGCGTTTATTTTTCTTTTGAGCACTAAAGAAGATTTTTTGAAAAATGTTGTAACCATTGACTTCCATAATCAAAAAAATAAAATAGCATGGAAGTCAATGGTTACAGGTTTCCAACCTTTATTTTAAAGCTTCTTCTGTGCTGGGGGGACATAATGGCTCAATGGTTAGCGTTGTCACCTCAAAGCAAGAAGGTTTTGGCACCTTTCTGTGTGGAGTTTGAATAAATTGAGTTAAATAAACTAAATTGGCCATAGTGTATGTGTATGAATGAGTGTGTATGGATGTTTCCCAGTGCTGGGTTGCAGCTGCAAGGACATCCGCTTTGTAAAACATATGCTGGATAAATTGGTGGTTCATTCCACTGTGGTAATCCTTGATGAATAAAGGCGCTAAGTCGAAGGAAAACGAATGAATGAATAAATCTTCTGTGCTTAACAGAGAAAAGGAACCCAAACTTGTTTGGTACAAGTGAAAGTTCAGTAAATGAAGACAAAGTGTTCAATTTTGGGTGAACTATAATATACTTTGAATATGATGTGGACAGAGACTCATTTAGCTGCTATTCAAGTGTTCGCTTTGCCACTAAAGGACTTTCCACTTTCTCTCCTTTCCCAACTCTTTTCTTCTACACACACACAGACATTTTTTTCTGTCTCTCTCGTTCCCTCTGTTTTCCATTCCTCCCCGTCCTCGAGTTAAAATTCACTTAGAGTCCTGATTTCTGTCATGGAATGAAATGGACCAAAGCTGAGCTATTGATTTCTGCAGAGTTCAATTAAATCCCTTTTGTGTGCGTTTTGAATTGTTACATCTTGTCCGCACAGACGGCTCAGTGTTCGCAGGAGATTATCCCAGCCCTCGCTCTGCTGCAGGATTTCACACCGTCTCTTCCTTCTACTTTACTTTACTGAGGAGAAGAGTGTAAACTTGACTGCTCGCACCGAGAGAGCTGTCTAACTGAACTGTGAGCAGCTGCTTATGGGACTCGTCTGATTCTGCTGAGCTCTTCTTAGATGAAAAATTAAATAAACTTTTGAGATCAATAATGCTTTTTTGTTTGAAGTAACTTCAACGTTTGATAGGCGCCATGCTCATTATTTTCTATTTTGTTATTATTATTATTATTATTATTATTATTTATTTATTTCTTATTTATTTTTTATTATCATCATCATTATCATCATTACTTCTACTACTACTACTACTACTACTAATAATAATAATAATAATTATTATTATTATTATTATTATTATTATTATTATAAAAACAATAAGATTATTATTTATATTAACACTAATATCATCAATATTAGACATTATTATAGGCAAATTATTATTTTATATAAATGTAATAATAATAATAATAATAATAATAATATTTTCATCAATATTATATATCATTATTAGGCTTATTATTTTTTATATCATCATCATCATCATCATTATTGTTATTATTAATATTATTATCATCATTATTGTATTATTAATGATTGTATTATTGCATTATTGTATTATTATCATTATTATTTGTAATATTATTATTATAAAATACACAATTATTATTATTTATTATTCATTATACAAAATCATTTGATTGCTACTATTGTATACAATACAGAGAAAAGATTGTGTCCATAAAAATACAGACAGTATAAAAGTATACATTTTAATTCCATATATAAAATATTATGATATTTAGGTTATGCGAGATATAAAATATTCAAATATATTTATTTTTCTATGTAATATAATAGTCATCTTTTTATTATTCATTCATTCATTTTCTTTTCGGCTTAGTCCTTTTATTAATCTGGGGTCGCCACAGTAGAATGAACCAACAACTTATCCAGCATATGTTTTACGCAGCGGATGCCCTTCCAGCTGCAACCTATCACTGGGAAACACACACACACACTCACTCACTCATTCATTCACAATAAACTACAGACAATTTAGCTTGCCTAATTCACCTATCACACATGTTTTGGTCTATTTATTATCGTATTCTATTATTTTATATGTTTTATACATGTAATAATTATATATGTATTTACCATCATCTATTACTTTTTTTAAACATCACTAATAATGCAATATTGTTCAATAAAAACTTAGCACGTCATTTTGTATTGTACATTAAAATAGTTGTAATGGTTAACTCACATTATTATTATTACACTTTAGGCGACACAGTGGCGCAGTAGGTAGTGCTGTCGCCACACAGCAAGAAGGTCGCTGGTTCGAGCCTCAGCTGGGTCATTTGGCGTTTCTGTGTGGAGTTTGTATCTTCTCCCTGTGTTTTCATGGGTTTCCTCCGGGAGCTCTGGTTTCCACCACAGTCCAAAGACATGCGGAACAGGTAAATTGGGTAAGCTAAATTGTCCGTAGTGTATGAGTGTAAGTGAGTGTTTGGGGATCTTTCCCAGACATGGTATGCGGCTGGAAGGGCATCAGCTGCGTAAAAACATGCTGGATAAGTTGGCGGTGCATTCCGCTGTGGCGACCCTGGATTAATAAAAGGACTAAGCTGAAAATGAATTAATTTATTATTACACTTTATTTATTTATTTGTTTGTTTATTTCAGGCTTTGTTTTATTGTTATTAACATGTTTAAGCTATATAATTAGATCAGCAGATGGCCAAGAAAAGTCCCTGTTTAACTAGTTTGGGTGTGTGTGCCTGCGTGAGTGCATTTTTTACAAACATGGACCAAATGTCCCCACAAGTATAGTAATACCTGTAAATGCAGACCTTGTGGGGACATTTTATTTATTTATTTTTTTCATTTGTTTTGGTCCCTAAGATGAAAACGTCTCATAAATCACGCATAATGAAGTTTTTTTAAGATGTAAAAATGCAGATTGTTTCCTATGAGGGTTATGTTTAGGGATATGGTTGAGATATGGGCATAGAGTAGTCTCTACAGTAAAAAAATCATTATGGAAGTCCCCATAAAGATAGCTGCACAAGTTATTGACTAGGGCTGTAACGATACACGATATAAAATCGAAATCGCGACACTCAGATCTACGATCCTGTGTCGCGGTGTGATAAGGGAGAATCGCGACACACCCCGTGACTACCTTTCCAATAACGTCACGAGTGCCTGCAAAAGTTGAGCTAGTTGAAGAAGAACCTGAGGAAACACTTTTTTTTCCGCTCAACATTACGATCACTGCTCCGTTTAAGCCCTCGCAATTAGCGTTTAACCGGGAGAGCTCGCACGGAGCTCTTAGTAAGGGA